GAAAGAAGAAAGAGAGTTCACAGTTCCTAGTGCAGCATCACTCAGTGTGAAAACTAATCAAGCACACACATAAAAATGGTCATTTGGTTTTACATTTTCAGCAAGCATCCTCTTGTAATTTTCTTGGCATAAAAACATGAAGCCACTCTTTGCCAGAAAGAATAACAGAATGTGATCCCTTCACTTCTATCAATAAAAAAATAAAACTAATCAAACAATGTATTTTTCTGACACATTTCAGTAATCTTTAATATCATACAAATAAAAAAAAGATCCAGATTCTGTCATGCCATGAAAACAGTCCAATTACTGCACAACTAAAGCTTAAGATCTTGCAAAAATTCCCAAACAGATTTAGACTATAATACAATGTTTTGTCAAACAATAATCTTAATCCTCCCTCCCAAGTTAATTAAAAGGCTTAGTGCTTTTGAAATTGTTTTATTACTTGAATACTGAAGCACATAGCTTGAATGGTAGAAGAAATAGTACAATGAAAATTTCTAAAATATTTTGAAATATGTTTTTAGTAATGCTATATTGATTAAGCTTGCAGGCCTTTTACTGTATTTTTTTTTTAAGAAAAGGAGATTATTTAAGAGAAAAAAGTATTTTATGCCTTTGCAATCTTAATTCTCTCAGTACTGCTAGGAATTGAGCTTCTTGGTTTTGAAAAAATGAAGTACTCCACCATTCAAACATGATAATGCTCAGAACTTATAAAAGGTAGTGACTGATAAATGTGAAAAAGTTAAAAAAGTGTAAAAGGGGAATAAGTCTCCAAACATATATCTTACTTTCAGAGGACACTTCAGATCTATAACCAAGAACTGAAACATCGGCTCTAGAACCAAACTCCTTTCTCAGTTTATCTGTATGAAGTTGATTGGCTGGCTGAATGATCCGCTCCTGACTTACATGAGTGGTGCTGAGATCTGAAACAGATTAACAGTGAATAACTTACTTTTTCTCCTAAAGATAATTGGCAAATTCCACTATATAAGATGAGTGAAGAAAAAGTAGCAAAATTTTTTTCAACAAAATTCTTGTGTCTCTGTTCCTCTGAATGCCCTCATTTCTCAGGGCTCAGGAAACAGCAGTCTTGCCTCCACCTCCCTCTTTTGCATTTCATTCAAACTCCTTGGTGCACATCCTCCTCCCTTCAGCCTCCAATATGCTCCTGTTGAACAATTTTGTATATGACCTTTATACATATCTCACTGATGATTTTAGAGCTACTAATAAAAACATTTAGTTCAGATAGAAATCAGGCTCTAAGGCTCACCTATTAAATACAGCATATTTCTTTTCCCAGAAATTTGTACACTTTACCTTAAGCCAGCAGTCACCATCTGACAGATGCCGACACGTTGACTGTAACATGTCACCTTTTTTCTCCCCTTCCTTCACACTGCTAAGATCAAAGCTGCTATTGCATTAGCTTGACATTGCCTAACATTAAAACAAAACAGCCTGAGTAAGGGTCAGAGTGAGGAATGTGCTGCATATCTTTGCAATGCTGAGTGACCAACCAGAGGGAGTGAGAGCCCGCGGTAAAGCATTACCTGTAAGCTACAAAAAAAGTGAAGATACTTCTAAGA